ATATAAATACAACACATAAATAGTTAAATAAAATAAATAAATAAATAAATAAATATATATATATATACACTTCCTTATTGAGTTAATATAGGGGTGATTGTTTTTTATTCTTTTGGGGTTCTCAAGCAAATAGCAGGATTTGAGGCCCAAGCTGCGCATCCTTGTGAGAAGGCGAGGACCTTGAACAGACATGAGGTCTTGAGCGGTTTTACAAGGCCGAGGCTACTTTGGCGCTGCTGCAGCTTCTAGCCACTCCTTACCCTAGCCCTTAATTTGCATCACGTAGCCACATGCACCCCACATCTTTCTGGGCCGAAGGCACCATCAAACTGCTGGCCATCCTGCAAAGAGAGTCAAAACAAGCGTCTCGGAGAAAACCTTCACTCTGGCTTTCCATGTGCATGCGGAAGTAAAGCTCACGTGACATGGCAGGCAGTCTGTATTGCCATTGCCCAAAGTCCCAAAAAGGGCACTCCTCCATTTTCGGAAACCCCCATATGCCCCGATGCATCTGTGACGACATGCGTGCGACTCACATGTCTGCATGGCCTGCAGCAAATCGCTAGTACTCGTCGGAAGCTGTGTGGCGGAGAGGCCGTTTTGTCAAAAGACCTGATGACCCTTTTGAAGCTGGACTTGCTGACTGCCAGAAGAGATGACCCTAAACCCTAAACCCTAAACCCTAAACCCTAAACCCTAAACCCTAAACCCTAAACCCTAAACCCTAAACCCGACATCATGTGGAGCCCCTCAGAATGTCAGAAGAAGCATGCCCAGCTTTTCCTTTCAGGGATCACGCCTCGCAAGCTCGAGATGCAGCCTCTCGGGCAGATGTGACGCCTGTGGACGAAGGTTTAGGGTGGAGGGTTTAGGGTTTAGGGTTGAGGGTTTAGGGTTTAGGGAGAGCTGCTACTATTTGCTTAAAGAACCCCCCAACCCTCCCCCAAAATGTCTCCTTATCAGTGGGGCAATATGTGGATTGCTATCTTTTATTTTGGGGGTTCGTAAAACAGTAGTGGAGCCACTTGGGATGGGAGGAAAGCAGACGTGGGACTCTACAAAAGCTGGTGGCACTCAGCTCACAAACCTAAGAAGATCCGTTTCACCTTTAGTCCACGGTTCACAGATGTTCCAACACGCAGAACCTCACACAACTTCGTTTCAACTCCCTAAGCCCCTAAACCCTAAACCCTAAAACACTTAAGTCAAAGTCCTGAACAGCTCAGGTGTGCCGAGCTTATGAGGGAAGTAGGTAGCCCTGAGCAGAAACCCGGTGGCGGGTTTGTACGGTTTGTGGAGTCGAAAATCCCCTGAAATCTGTGCCCTTCATCAACCCTGAAGCCTACCTAAAGACCCTAATCCCTAAACCCTAAACCCTAAACCCAAAAAAACCGACTCCTAACTCTTACCATAGGGTGGGGTGGTGCCTTCTTCGAAGCCAACGCAAGCGTAGGACCTCGAGTCAGGTTCAGGCGCGGGGTGGGAGGGGGGAGCGCAAAAGCCTCACAGTCCTACAAACGATGGTCGCTAGTTTTTGGGGGGGATCCCTGTTGGTAGATCCTCAAGAAGGGCATAAGTGCATGGCTGAAGGTGCATGGACATTGCTTCCGGCCCAGCAAAATATGTCATAGATCATACGCTTTCGCAGATCGACAGGGTCTGGGGTTTAGGGTTTTGGGGCTTCCCAGGCCCTAGACAGTGATCCCCATGAACCCAAGACCCGAAACACCCAAAAAACACCCCCAAAAAACCTAATTGTACCCGAATGAAACCCTAATTATCCCCTAATAATTAACCCTAATTCTACCCTAATTCAACCTAATTTAAGTAAACCCTAATTAAACACTAAACCCTAAACCCTCTCTCGTTTGACTGGGTCTCGCACTGCGCAGGCCGGACCCACGCCTTGCGAGTGTGTGGCTTCGCGGGGTTCCACAACTACTAATTCTCAAGAACCCCAACCATGTAAGATAATATTACCCATATTCCCCTACTAAATGCTTAAGAACCCCCGAACCATGAAAGAAAATAATCCCCATATTTCGCTTGTAAGGAAGAATGTTTGTGTTTTTAGGGGTTTCTTGAGCAAACAGTAGACAAGGGTAAGGTTAAGGGCTTGGGGTTTAGGGTGGCGTGGGTTACATACAGGCTATATGGACAGTGTGGTCTCTTTTTTGGGTTTACTGTCATAAGGCTCCTAATGTTTAGGATACCCCAAAACGGACCATCGTGTAGGACATGGCCATACAGGGTTTGTTTAAGAGGTTTTACGAGGGTTTGCAGGGTTTAGGCGCGTAGCGGGCTGCCCTCGAGAATCCCTTGAGAAAGGCATCCCTGCGAACACCTCTCCCGCGCGCTTCTGGGCGTTTTCCCCGGAGACCCACCAACCACGTGGGCCAACACCTGGCAGGGTTTAGGGTTCAGGGTTCAGGGTTTAGGGTTTTGGGTGGGGGGGGGGGGGGGGGCAGGACGAAGTAGCCATGCGCAGTGCCGAAAGCCTAAACCCTAAACCCTAAACCCTAAACCCTAAACCCTAAACCCTAAACCCTAAACCCTAAACCCTAAACCCTAAACCATGTCTCGTCAGATTCCGCGTGCTACGTGACCACTGGGCTCACTCCACTGGCGCCTTCGGCTGCTGCAGCCTCACATGCCGTGCAGCGCACATGGGCTTGGGGTTTAGGGTTTAGGGTTAGGGAGGGTTTAGGGTTTAGGGTTTAGGTTTAGGGTTTAGGGTTTAGGGTTTAGGGTTTAGGGTTTAGGGTTTAGGGTTTAGGGTTTAGGGTTTAGGGTTTAGGGTTTAGGGTTTATGGTCCAGGGTTTAGGGTTGAGGGTTGAGGGTTCACGGTTTAGGGCAGTTCTCTTCATTCGGCTGCCTTTTGGGGGGTCCTGTCTTCCTGCATGGGCTATGATAAATCTCAGCCCCCTAAACCCTAAACCCTAAACCCTAAACCCTACACCCTAAACCCGAAACCCTAAACCCTAGTAGCCCCTGCTGGCTTTTAAGGGTGCCCTACTTCCCTTTTTGGGGCTCCTTCTTTTTTACGGGTGCCGTGCTTCCCTCGTTGGGGTTTAGGGTTTAGGGTTTAGGGTTTAGGGTTTAGGGTTTAGGGTTTAGGGTTTAGGGTTTAGGGCCATACTTTCTAGAGGACCCAAGAAGGGCACTCATGTCGTGAGCCCAGCATGGCGTTTAAAGCAGAGCAAGAAGTTAAGGAGGTTTCAGGCTAAGAGAGGCGCATCATCCGTCTCGAGGCTCTTCTCCTGCGGGCCCGAGTCTCACGCTTAGGGTTTAGGGTTTAGGGTTCAGGGTTTAGGGTTTAGGGTTTAGGGTTTAGGATTTAGGGTTTAGGATTTAGGGTTTAGAGCCTAGCACGGTGGAGGTCAAACATGCAGTGACAGGGGTAAGGCTTTCAGCACCTGCAAGAGATGGGCGCTTAACAGGGTGCCCCTTGTATACCCCGTATCTACCCTACACAAATTAAAGGCCTATACTTAGTTGTCCAGTAACCTAGGGGAATTAAAGGTTAACCTTTGGGATTATAAGGGGATTGTATTACCCCAAAAAGGTTAAAGGTTACCTACTCTACTGCCAGGAATACTTCAGAACCCATAAAGGAGCTGAGGGGAACCACAGTATGGGCCCATGAAACTAACCTTAGAATGGTGGCGGGGCTTTGTGTTAGGGCCTTCTTGGTCGACTGCCCGTGGAACTCTTACACCTCGTCCCTAAACCCTAAACCCTAAACCCTAAACCCTAAACCCCAAACCCCAAACCCTAAACCCTAAACCCTAAACCTAAACCATCCCGGGAAGCAGTCCGGGAAGGCTCCGGCGGCAGAGTGCGGAGCATCCAGGAAGACGAACCTTATAGAAGGCGAGGGTTTATCTCCCTACTTTGGAGTAGACAAAAGTATATACTTTTAAGGTAGACGTAGCTGCAATTGGAACCCAGCACGACAAAAAGTATTAAAGTATAGCACTCCAAAACCCAGATGTAGGCTTTAGAGCTTAGAAGACCCCAAGGTCAGAAGCCCCTGGGCTTACAAGAGAAGGAAGATATAATTGGTTACCCCTAACCCCTAACCCCTAAAGCCTAAACCCTAAACCCTAAACCCTAAACCGACACCCCACCCCTAGCCCAAATATGATCCAAACCCGACGGCCTACCCTTCCAACCTTCGGGCCCTTCCTGGAGGTTTAGGGTTTAGGGTTTAGGGTTTAGGGTTTAGGGTTTAGGGTTTACCAACTATAACTGTACTTATAACTGTACTTAGAACCATCTTGAGGCACTTAAGGGGCTTATAAGCGGGCTATAAGTACAGTTATAGTTGGTTAATAAGAACCTCCAAGTTGGGGGTTATTGTAGTACCCTAACACAGCCCAATCACCAGGTCCCTGCAAAGATTGGGCCACCCCAAGAAGAGCAAAAGCATGTTGGACATTCTGCAGACCCCTGAGGGCCGAAGTCTGAAAATCCTAAACTCTAATCCCTAAACCCTCAGCCCCTGAATAATCTCCTGGGCAAGCGCGCTCGCAGCCTTTCAAGGCACGACGCAGTGAACCGGTCTTCTGCTTGAGAATGTCGCCTCTGCTTGCCGGGTTTAGGGTTTAGGGTTTAGGGTTTAGGGTTTAGGGTTTAGGGTTTAGGGTACGTAGGGTTAGGGCTTAGGGTTTAGGATTTTGGGGCTTGATGATAACGTTGAGGGATGTTCAGGGGCTGTGCAAAATTTAAGTCCGTTCTGAAGGCCCTCCTTGAAAGGGATTCTATTCTGCAGGCACCTAGAAGAGGAACCACCCTTAACGTGCCCACTCTAACCCTAAACCCTAAACCCTAAACCCTAAACCCTAAACCCTAAACCCTAAACCCTAAACCCTAAACCCTAAACCCTAAACCCTAAACCCTGAACCCTGAACCCTGAACCCTGAACCCTGAACCCTAACACGATGGGAGGCCAGGCTTGAGGACAAGATTGCAAGTTCAGCAGGCTCGGCCCCGACACCATTCTGCACGAAGCCGTGGAAGCAAAGAATGCCTAAGCACGTTTAGGGTTTAGGGTTTAGGGTTTAGGGTTTAGGGTTTAGGGTTTAGGGTTTAGGGTTTAGGGTGCACACGAGGAGCTGTCCACCCAGTACTTGGAGGTTCATGGGTACTCATAAGTAGAAACCCTAAACCCTAAACCCTAAACCCTAAAACACAAAAACAAACCTAAACCCTAGACCCAGTAGGTTAAATGGTAGGGTTGCAACCACAGTTGCCCTACTTGTAGCCCTACTTAAGAAGTACCCTAATGAACCTCCAAGTAGGCTATCACTTCGCCAGAAACATCACTAGACCTAAGCCCCATAAACGTTATATAGGCCCTATTTACCCCATACATACGTATACATACATCTATAAATATAAACATATAAACATATACACATATACACATATACATATATACATATATACATATATACATATATATATATATAGCTTCCGAAGCCCGTGTTGACAAAAGAACTAGAATCAGTAACTAGAAGCAACCCTGCCCTACACATAAACACGATATTGGTCCGTAAACGCCCGAGAACTCTACAAATTGAAAAACCCTGGAAGCACTAAACAGATCTTGAAGAGAACCTGTAAAGCCTCGCCTGAACCCCCCACCACCACCACCACCACCACCACCACCACCACCACCACCACCACCACCACCACCACCACCACCACCACCACCACCACCACCACCACCACCAAAAAAAACACACAAATACTAGAACCAAAAAACAGCAAGGACAACCCTTGCAAAACCCTGCCAAACAAAAAACATGAAACCCTCATGAAAGCAGAATAGTACGCCCTGGGGGCCGTGCATACATATGGCATACATGCATACAATGACCCCTTGTCTGTAACCAAAACCCCAAACCCAATTCAAATGAACCCATGAATCCCACAACCACAAGCCCCAAGCTTCCCGGACCATGACACCGCGAACATCAGGGTGCCCCCGCGGAAGCTTTGTCCAGGCTGCACCATTCCAGCCTCATGATAGGTTCCGGGTTTAGGTTTGATTAGGGTTTAGGATTAGGGTTCAGGGTTTAGGGTGTCTGCAAGCACTGTCTGCAACAGCAGGCTCCATGCTACCAGAAGGTCGCTGGACTTAGGGTTCCTTCATAATGAAGGAGATTCACAGAACAGGGGAGTGTAGCCGTGTGCAATGCTTTTTCAAGCAATGGTGTCGGGTGTGGTTCGGGATCCAGCCACCCTGGATTACATGGGTATGGCCGAAGCAGGCCGGGTGGAAAGTTATGGGAGTTTGGGGTTTGGTGCTTGGGTTTTCGGGGCTTGGGGGGACCTTAGTGGTAGGGGGGGCTCTGTAAAGTTTGGGGGTCATTCAAAACAGGACCTGCGACGTGGATCAGGTTCATCGGTGCAACTTCCACTGCTTCTTGACAGTTTAGGTCGGGACTTGGGGACCTCATGCAGGGACTCCATGGGACGATCCATTATGCCAGACTGCCGCCAAGGAGTTTTAGTTATAGCCGAAAAGGCTCCATGGGGGTAGTGGTTCAGGGCCTTGACGGTTTAGGTATTTGCGGTTTTAGGGTTCAGGATTCAGGGGCTTGATGGTTGAGGGTATATTGGTTTAGGGCCCAAGGTTGTTTCAGGGCCTTGACAGTTTAGGTTAGGATGTTTGGGTTTAGGGTTTAGGGTTCTGGGGCCTTGACTTTTTCTGGTATATGAGTTTATGGGTTTAAGGGTTTAGGACTTGGGGTCCAAAAGTAAAGATAAACCCCTATGTATTGCCCTTATAGGGAAGAATACTTGTTTTTGTTTTTTTGGGAGGGTTCTTGAGAAAGTAGTAGAAAACCCCAAACAAGCGCAAGCGTCTTGCGCAGCCGGAGCATCAGCAGGGGGCGGAGGCCTGGGAAGGAAGGAGCCGCTTGCGACTCTCGGCAAGAAAGATCTGCAGGGTGTAGGGTTCAGGGCTTGCGGAACCCTAAATCCTAAACCCTAAACCCTGAACCCTAATTAACCCATAACCCTGAAAACAAGAAGGGCTTGTACCTTTACTACCGGGGCTTTTGTTGCCACCTGGCACGGGCTTGAAGTTTAGATGGGGTGGCAAGGAAGGCTTCGAAGTGGAGACAGGTTGAGGGTTGAGCGGCTTGCGGTTTTAGGGTTTTAGGGTTTTAGGGTTTTAGGGTTTTAGGGTTTTAGGGTTTTAGGGTTTTTGGGTTTTAGGGTTATAGGGATTTAGGGTTATAGGGTTATAGGGTTTTAGGGTTTTAGGGTTGTAGGGTTTTAGGGTTTTAGGGTTTTCTAGGGTTTTAGGGTTTTAGGGTTTGGGGTCACTTGCTACCTTTGACTTTGCATCTGGACTCTGCCCGCTAGATACAAGTTGCCCCATCACGCTGAGCTGCTGTCAGCCAGTGGCCACACCCTGTGCATACAAGCCCTATAACCCCAAATTCTTAAACTCCCCAAACCTTTAAAAAAAACAAAACCCACCCAGGTTTGTATAAGATCCAGAGCCCAGTGCCCAGGATTGACATGAAGGAGGGTTTATATTAATTCCTGGTATCCCAAAAAAGACTCACCAATAGCGGGAACCCTCAACCCTAAACCCTAAACCCTAAAACCCTAAAACCCGAATACCCTAGAAAACCCTAGAAAACCCTAGAAAACCTAGAAAACCCTAGAAAACCCTAGAAAACCCTAGAAAACCCTAAAACCCTAAACCCTAAATCACGTAGGGGGGGGCCTTCCCGCTTTCAAGCGAAGGGCGGCGCGGAGCTCCTCGAAGGCCAAAAGGATGTCGTGGGGTCTTTCATGGCTTTGTTTAGGAGGCGCATTCTTTGTTGGAGGGGGGGGTCGGGTAGGATTTAGGGTTTAGGGTTTAGGGTTTAGGGTTTGGGGTTTAGAGTTTAGAGTTTAGGGTTTAGGGTTTAGGGTTTAGAGTTTAGGGTTTGGGTTTAGGCTTTAGGGTTTCGGGTTTAGGGTTTAGGCTTTGGGTTTTTGCACCGCACAGCACGCACCCACTGCAAGGCGCCGAGTCCGCAGAGACCAATCGAGGCTTCACGGTACAACAACACGGCCAACACCCCACATGCAGCAAACCAGAATCTCTCTCTCTCTCTCTCTCACTCCCTAAACCCTAAACCCTAAACCCTAAACCCTAAACTCTAAACCCTAAACCCTAAACCCTAACCCTAAACCCTAAACCGCCACTGGGGGCATGGGCTTCTGAGGGCTTTAGGCTTTAGGCGCAGAGGTTGTCAGGCGGGACGCCCTGCTGCCGTTGGAGAAACGGAAGATGATGAACCGGTGGCCTTCGGTCACCCTTCACATCGGTTTCGCTGCGCCTGCCACGCTTCGAGCCCTTCAAAACAGCCACTTTGCATTACTATGCGTGAGATCGCAATAGCGCGAAGGATCTCATCCCACAAGGCCGGCTCTTTCTGTACGATAAAGAACTCGCACCCAAAGAGCCCAATATAGCTTAATTAAGGAATATACCTTAAATCATATTAAGGATCCCTATATGATTTAGGGAATATCCCTTAATTAAGCAATATTGGGCTCTTTGGGCACGGACTGGTAACGCGGACGTTATCATCGTGCGGGGCATGGGTGCTCTGGCGACTCGCATTGACTGGTAACACAGATGCTATCATCGCACGGGCACGGGTGCTCCACTCGCACGGACTGGTAACACGGACTTTATCATTGTGCCTAAACCCCTAAACCCCTAACCCCTTTTTGAGCACCCCTAAACCCCTACACCCTAAACCCTAACCCCGAATTCCCTGTCTAAGAGCTCGTTCGCTGAGGGAAGACCGTCCTCGCACTGGTCCATCGCCTGGGATTCAAGGTCCCGCACTTGGGATCAGGGCTTGGCTTGGCTGACTTCTGAACCCCTCCGGAAAGTTTATCGTTTAGGATCCTTACTGTGTTTTCTACAAAAGCCCAAAAGGTTAAAGTCCTAAGAGCCAACCAGAAGAAAGCCTGAGTTGGGTTTAGGGGTCTTAAGTCTAGGTTGAGGCCTTTCTGCTTTAGGTCGTCCTTTAGGCTTTTGAGTCTTAAGCCGTCGTTTTGGTTTTCACATTTAGGGTGTTATTGCAGGTCCTCTGCACTGACACAAGGGTCCCAAACATCTCGCCGAGCAGGCCTCTTTACAAAGAGCATGTGCTGCACTCCCGGACCCTGGAACTAAACCAAAATCGCGTGAGTCTCATGAACACCAAAAACCGTAAACCCCTAAACCCCTTACTTCCGCAAGAGGGATTAAAGAATCATCCTTTTGAACACGGTTCTAGGCACCAAGCCGCATTTCAGAATCACCCTTTTGAAACTATAAACCCCTAGACCTCCGCCTTGGGGATTGAGATTCCTGAACCCTAAACCCGGTTAGACCCTAAACCCTAAACCCTAAACCCTAAACCCTAAACCCTAAACCCTAAACCCTAAACCCTAAACCCTAAACCCTGAACCCCAAGCGCTGCGCGCCCTTAGTGCCCAGGCGCGAGGGAGAGCTGCAGAGAGGGGCCCCCATGGCCAGCCCACGGGCCCGCGCTACGATCCTGAAAAACTGGTTGGGTTTAGGGTTTAGGGTTTAGGGTTTAGGGTTTAGGGTTTAAGGTGCAGGGTTTAGGGTTTAGGGTTTAGGGTTTAGGGTTTAGGGTTTGGGGTTTGGGGTTTGGGGTTTGGGGTTTAGGGTTAAGGGTTCAGGGTTAAGGGTTGAAGGTTTAGGGTGCAGGCGCTTAGGCTTTAGGGCTAATTTGTTTGAGGACCTTATTCCGCTGCTGCGTTCATCTGACAACATTCAGAACATGATCGCTTCACGTCACGTAGCCATGCTTGCAGGTTGGAGACATGCCGAAGCTTGCCCTAAACCCAAAACCCAAAACCCTAAACCCAAAGAGCCCAGTATAGCTTAATTAAGGAATATACCTTAAATCATATTAAGGATCCCTATATGATGTAGGGAATATTCCTTAATTAAGCAATATTGGGCTCTCTGGGAAGCGATTGCACGGCGACAGAGTTGATAAGCGCGGGTGAAAGACACAGGCGGCGTAAGAGCTGTGGATGAGAGCAGATTCCGTTTCGAGTTTGGGGTTGAGGGTTCAGGGTTTGGGGTTTAGGGTTTAGAGTTTAGGGTTTAGGGGTTAGGGGTTAGGGTTTAGGGTAGGGGGGGTCTGGGCCACAGGGCCGAATCCCTCCCAAGCCCAAACCGAGCTGCGGAAGGCAAGCGGAAGCAGACCCCAAACGCACCTGCCCAGATCTTCCAAAACCCCTTAATGAAAGAGTATACTCTAAAAGAATACCCTAATCTATACTATAGGGATCATTATGAAGAATTAGGGTATGTTCCTTAATGAAGGGGTTTTGGAAGATCAGGGTGCTGACATGTGCAACTGAAATTCAGAAGGGCTCACGGTGAGGTGTTTGGGCTTGTTGAGGCTTTAAGGAAATCTGGGTCACACATCCCCCTGCTTACACCCGCCGGGTTCCGCATGACGCCTTTTCTCCAACGCACGGAGGCGGGTTCAGAACTATTCAGACACTTCTTTGCGTGCAGGGGATCCAACTTCAGGGGCCCGAATAAGCAAGAATGCACGTTTGGGGGTCTTTCTTGAGAATCTGCAACAGGGCCCCAATCGTCGGCAACCACCTCTTCCCTTCAGAGATCATGTGCAAGCATATGGGACCGGGTGTCCATCACGCTAGTCGCGGCCACGTATCACCTCAGGTGCTGGGGGCCTTGCACCTGCCCTCTTCACCCCAAGCTTGAAACCAAAACGAGCCCGATATCCCCGAATCCTAACCCCGTAGCCTCGAACTCCGTAACACTAAACCCTTCCGTGCGCGTCGAAGCACCTGTCGGACATCGCTAGATCACTGCTGGGAGCTCAGGTATCCCGTTCCCCCCATGACTCGCTGACATGCCAGGAAGCCCTGGCACTCATGCACGACTCATGCCTTCAACACCCCAAACCCTCCCAACCCAGAACCCTAAGACCCGTGAACCCAGGAAAATGTGAAGCCCTAAACCCTAAACTGCAAACCCTAAACCCTAAACCCTAAACCCTAACCCTAAACCCTAAACCCTAAACCCTAAACCCTAAACCCTAAACCCTAAACCCTAAACCCTAAACCCTAAACCCTAAACCCTAAACCCTAAACCCTAAACCCTAAACCCTAAACCCTAAACCCTAAACCCTAAACCCTAAACCCTAAACCCTAAACCCTAAACCCTAAACCCTAAACCCTCGCCAAGTCGCAGATTCCCCGTCCCTCCGTCGCTTCATTGGGGGACATAGCTCCGGAGGCGGCCTCTTGGTCCCAATCTCCCGCTCTCCGTGGGCGTTATTGCCTTTTGGTTCCGTTTGAGGGTTTAGGGTTTAGGGTTTAGGGTTCAGGGTTCAGGGTTTAGGGTTTAGGGTTTAGGGTTTAGGGTTTAGGGTTTAGGGTTTAGGGGTTTAGGTTTAGGGTCGTAGGGTCTTAGGGTCTTAGAGTCTGGGGACTTCGGGTGTTAGGGTCTTAGGGTCTTAGGGTCTCAGGGCAAATTAGAGGTACCTTCCCAGATCTTCCAAAACCCCTTAATTAAAGAGTATACCCTAATTTTCTACTAAGGGTCATTATTAAGAATTAGGCTATGTTCCGTAATGAAGGGGTTTTGGAAGATCTGGGTTACTAGGGGTCCCGTATTTTCGTAAACCCCCCCAATTTCACTTAGTTGTCCAGTAACCTAGGGGAATTAAAGGTTAACCTTTGGGATTATAAGGGGATCATATTACCCCAAAAAGGTGAAAGGTTATCTACTCTACTACTAGGTTCAAGCCTGTTGGAAGCTGAGCTCTTCACGACACTGTCCCTGTCCCTCCTACTCCGTCTCCCCAGCGAACAAACATTGGAGGCGCTTTCTGGGCGCAGATCGCCCTAAACCCTAAACCCTGAACCCTAAACCCTAAACCCTGAACCCTAAGCCCTAAACCCTAAACCCTAAACCCTAAACCCTAAATCCTAGACGAGTGCAGCCATCCATTCTGACAAGGCGCAATTCTTGCCATAGATGCATCCCTTGGCAGTCTTTGTGACGGGGTCCCAAAACCTTGGCTGACTTCTGAGCCCCTCCTAAAAGTTTCAGGTTTTAGGCTCCTTATTGTAGTTTCTACCAAAAACCCCAAAAGTTAAAGTTTATTGTAGTTTCCACAAAACCCCCAAAAAAAGCCAAAGTCCTATAAGAAGAGAGCCAAAAGAGAGCCAAGAAACACGCATAGGCGTGTCTTCACCTTGCCGCACACGGACAGTCCAATGGTGCCCAACTCGCTCTCGGTGTGAGCAAATGGGCAAATCTTGCCCAGCGAGCACTCCCCTCTAGAAAAGCGCCCGCACATCTCCTTCGGGGCGGAATGCCCTAGCCAAAACAAAGAGGTGAACCTTTTATTCGTACTAGGATTCTATAAAACCAAAAAAGGTCAAAGTCTTAACTAAACAGATCTTCCAGAACCCCTTCATTAAGGAATATACCCTAATTCAGAATAATGATCCATCGTATAGATTAGGGTGCATTCCTTAATCAAGGGGTTTTGGGAAGATCTGGGTACCCCCCTAAACCCTAAACCCTAAACCCTCAACCCTAAACCCTAAACCCTAAACCCAGCCCCGACCTCTCCTTCTTTTTCTTCAACCTCATGTCTGGCACCTGGCTTTCCGGGATATCTCCCTGCTCAGCCATGGCCTAGGTTGCCCAGTAGCCTAGGATGAAAAAGGGTGACCTTTTTTGCTTAAAGGGGTTTATAAGGGAACCTAAACCTACCCAAAAGGGAATAAGACTGGGCATCCTAGTGGCGCCCGTCTCCTCGTTGGCCATGTTGTCTGGGACATCCGGCGATGCTGGATGCAGCTCCTCGTAGGTGTGTGCCTAACTTGGCTGAGTTCATAAGCTCCCCAAAAAAGTTTAGGGTTTAGGGTTTAGGGTTTAGGGTTTAGGGTTTAGGGTTTAGGGTTTAGGGTCTAAGGTTTAGGAACGCTTTCAGTTCTAATAGGGGATTGGAGCATCCCCAACAAAGTGTAAACGTGTACTCACTCAGCAACTAAGGTGCAAAGGTGCAATCCTGACCCTGTCTGCAGAAGCCCACGGTCATCAAGGGCTTGCATAGCCGCATCGGCCGAAATCCTTCTTTGAAGCGCAGGGGCTGCGCCGCTTGTGTTTTGGCCCTCTTTTCCACCTCCTGCTTTTGCAGGTGCTGATAGAACTGATACTGCTGCTGATACTGCATATCCTTGGCAGACTTCTGAACCCCTCCGAAAAAAACTAACTCTTAGGCTCCTTATTGTAGTCTACAAAAACCCAAAAGATGAGAGTCCTAGGAGCCAGCCCAGAAGAAAGACAAGCATCTTGTGCTGACTGCGCAGCTGCGGCAACGGCTGCGGCACCCTCAGCCTCATTGGGGCTTTCGCCTGGCTGGTTGCCTCCACCTTCCCCTCCCCCTCCTGCAGCCTTAGTAGCCCAGTAACCATCTTATAATCAGGGCACCCTTTTTTGGGGTTGGTTTCTTTATAAGGCAACCTTGAACCCAATAAAAAAAGGGAAAAGGGTACCACTGGGCTACCAAGCAGCAGACCCCAGGGCTTGTACTACAGCATTCAACACCGAGGGGTCCAAGCCTAGAGCAACGGCGACTGCGGCGACCGTGGGGTCTGTGCCGGCAGGGGGGGCTGCTGGTGCTCCTGGGGCCAAAGGTGCCGGCGGCGGAGCCGCTGGTGCTCCGGGGGCCGGTGGAGCCGGCGGTGGAGCCGCCGGAGCTATCGCTGGAAGGGCTGCAGGCGCCGATGCTGCCGCAGCTGGCATCGTGGCTGGGGCCACTGGGATGGGAAGGGCTGCAGGCGCCGATGCAGCTGGACCAGCTGGCATGGTGGCTGGGGCCACTTGGATTGGAAAGCCTATTGGAAGTGCCATCGCGCCCGCCCCCAAGTGAGCGGGAGGCGGTGGTAGCACCATGCCCGGCGGAAGGCCTTGTAGGCCCTGGAGGGCTTGAAGAGGCACGCCAAGGTTGGGCAACTGACCCACCAACTGCATCTGCATCTGTGGTGGCATGGTCATTGTGCCCGGCGCCGCATGTGGGCGCGGAGGCGGTGGCAACACCATGTTCGGGGGAAGGCCATGAAGAGGCACCCCCACATTGGGCAACTGCCCTGGCGGCTGCATCTGCGGCAGCCGTGGGCCGGCTTACTACACCTGCGGAATCTTAAGCCACACATCCGATCCGAGGAGTGACCTGTTACATGCTCCTGCAACATCCTGGAACAGCCCGATACTTGGAGGTTCATGGTACCTACTAACCAAAGATAACTGTACTTATAACCCACTAATAAGCCCGTTAAGTGCCCTAATATGGCTATAAGTACAATAAGAAGTACAAGTTATCATTGGTTAATAAGTACCATGACCCTCCAAGTATGGCCTGGCAAGCTTCGCTCTCTTTTCCTGCAGCTGTTGAGCGCCGGACAGTTTGTCTATTTTGCTGCCTAGAAGATACAGAGGGTGTGACCTGCTCTTTTTCGCCGGCCGCCCCCGAAAGGTTTGAACAGAAAAACCCGAAGTATGAATTTTTAGCAGACGGTTCTGCACTTTCCAAGTTTGTGGTCGTGCTCACCTGCTTGCTCTGGCTCTTTGTGTGACTCTCATCCAGCATCCCCATAAACTCATCGAAATCCACCACGCCGTCGCCCGAAGTGTCGTAGCTATCAAGAAACGCCTCGATTGCTTTCCTGGGTTGGCCATTATAAACCCTCTGAAAAAACAGGGTTTAGGGTTTAGGGTTTAGGGTTTAGGGTTTAGGGTTTAGGGTTTAGGGTTTAGGGTTTAGGGTTTAGGGTTTTGGGTCCCTTATAAAGCCAAGTCAGAAAAAACACATATGTGTATATATATATATATATAACGCCCCCCCCCCCCCCAAAAAAAAAAAAAAAAAACAACCGAGTTTCGACTCCTTCTCCTGCTTGCTCTTGTCGCTCGTCCGTCCCGAAGTGAGCAGTTTGCACCTGAGTTGCTGAGTTCATAAGCCCCCCAAAAAAGTGTACACTTTCAGCTCTCTAGGGGGCTTATAGTACCCCATAAACTGTGCTCACTCAGCCGGTAAGGAACAGCTCTGCCTTCGTGACGGTGCCACTTCCATCTGCATCGAAAATCTTGAAGGCTTCCCAAACGACATCTTCTTTCAGCACCTTCTTCTTGTCCTTGGTTGCTGAGCTCACAAGCCCCCAAAGAAGGTGCACACTTTCAGTTCTGATAGGGGGTTCTAGTATCCCAAAGAGTGTAAAAAGTGTGCTCACTCGGCTAGTAGGTGTCCAGTGCTGCTGCCAGGAACTCCGTGTACTCAATGGTGTCGTTGCCTCGGGTTTAGGGTTTAGGGTTTAGGGTTTAGGGTTTAGGGTTTAGGGTTTAGGGTTTAGGGTTTAGGGTTTAGGGTAGCGAGCAGGGGGCGGCTCGCAGGTACTCACCCCCGACATCTGTTGCACATCCAAGGCCCCAAACTCTGGACACCGGCCCTAAACCCTAAACCTAAACCCTAAACCCTAAACCCTAAACCCTAAACCCTAAACCCTAAACCCTAGTCCTAGGACTTGAAGTTGACCCGAACTGGTGCTGCGACAGCCCCGGGCGAGCCACCATCTGTACCAACTCCGCATAGGCTTAGCCCGCCCGGCAAGGTCACACCGACCTCTGGGGCGCTTCTGGGAGCTTTTGGAAGGCTTTGAGGCTTTTCCTAAACCCTACACCCTACACCCTAAACCCTAAACCCTAAACCCTAAACCCTAAACCCTAAACCCTAAGACCTTACCCTACACCCTCAACCCTAAACCCCAAACCCTTTTTTGAGCAACGGACTTTGGAGGCTGCCGGCTAACCCCAAACCCTAAACCCTAAACCCTAATCCGAGGAGTCCAGAAAATGCTCCTAAGGTCGAAACAAGTCGGTGCTCTCCTGAATTACTTTGGAGCACTGCGCTTGAAACCTGGGCGGCTAGATACTATTAGGTCATTCTTAGGAACCCTTAACTACTGTTTGCTGCAGAACCACCCCAAAAAATGAGATGTTCGTCCTTGTAGTGGTGACATAAATATGATTATCTTCTTTTGGGGGGTGCTCTTAAGCAAATAGTAGTTAACGGTTGGGATGCTCCGCCTTATGCTAGCAAGCTTTAATGGGGACTGTAGTAGGGGATTTAGGGTTTAGGGTTTACGGGGGTGCCAGAATCCCTGTTAAGGACTGTGTTAGTATGAGGGGGAGCATCCCAAACTATGGCGCTTATACACGCCGAGTGCCGAGGAACCCTTGTGATTGCAAAATTTCGGACTAACACTAGCCACAAACCGATTGCCAACTGTTATTCTTGTTTCAATACACATAAATACACACAACAATACATAGAACAATGAATAACTCATACGTAAACAGAAATAATACAAAACACATAGAATAATAATGGATAACCCCTAAACCCTAAACCCTAAACCCTAAACCCTAAACCCAAAACAACAAACAACAAAAGAAAAACATGCAAAAACAAACGGCACCAACCCTTTTTGGCTGCCGAACCTCTGCGAACGCTCCGCGGAGCTCTCCAATGGTCATATGCCCATTTCCTCGGAAAGTTCAGGATGAAAGTTTAGGGTTTAGGGTTTAGGGTTTGGGGTTTAGGGTTTAGGGTTTGGGGTTTAGGCTAACAGTTTAGGGTTCAGGGTTTAGGGGGCCGAGGTTGATTGGTAGGCTTTTCGAGGCCATTGGGTGTGCGATTTCTGTCAGCCATGTACCTCCCAGAGTTCTTGAGGGATTACGGGCCATGCAGCTGAGTGGTTGGCTCGGCGGGCTTTGGCATACGAGTTTTTGTCTTTTAGGCAGCACGAGAGCATGCCACAAAGGAGCTCGACACGCACCTTGCGCACCCCTCCTCCTAAGCCCCGCCACCACAACCAGCACCAACAACCAGCACCAACAACCAGCACCAACAGCCAATATAAGCATTATACCCGCCCAATATAAGCGTGACTCAAAAAAACTACCCCGGCAGCAGAAAGTAAGCCGAGGTGCCATCTCTGTCCAAGCATTCGAAGATCTGCCTCAAGTGTTGCGTGTCCTCGCACGTGTGGTGAAGGGCTTACGCCTGCCCCTAAACGCAAAACCCTCAACCCTAAACCCTAAACCCTAAACCCTAAACCCTCAACCCAGGCCCGGAACCCTAAACCCTATAAACCCTAAGCCATGGGTTGCGACTGCAAAGATTCGGAGTCTGGATGTACGAGGACATAAAGCGAAGGAGTTCTGATGTGTGGAGATGTGCAATATCAGGGTCGAAGCAACTACTAATGGTATTCTCTTATGGTCCCTATGTACATATGCTAGACCAGCCTTCCCAAAGTGTACTGGTAACCTTACCCAGGGTACTTATAACCCTACTCATAAGTACCCATGAACCTCCAAGTATTCTAACTTGGCATGTTCCCCCTTCTACTGCAGACTGTTAGAAAGGGGGAACATCCCAATTCAAGGCCCCCCGATCTATTCTTGGCAGCCCAGTAACCATATTAATATAAGGGCACCCTTTTTTGGGTTGGTTCCTTTATAAGGGAACCTAGAACCCCAAAACAGGGAAAAGGGCACCACTGGGCTACCAATATTCTTTGCCATCATTCGCAGGCAACCCTAAACCTTAAACCCTAAACCCTCACCCTAGCAACGCAACCCCCCCCCCCCCCCCCCCAAGGAAAACTTCTGCAGTGATGTCCTCATCCGAAGCACGCCAGGCGAGGGCAGTGAGCGCAGCTTTCTGCATGAGGTTGAGGGACTGAAACCTTAGGTCAAGACGGGCTTCGGGCTCTTTCGTTTCGCCGGTCTCCGGGCTCCAGGCTTAGGGTTGCAACTCTCCGAAACCCTAAACCCTAAACCCTAAACCCTAAACCCTAAACCCTACACCCGTTTTTGTTAAAGGCTGCCGGGGTTTGTCATGACCTCCCTGAGAGCCCGCCACACTCTGAGGAGAGATGTCTTCGCAGTGCGAAAACCACTCTGACATGCGGGTTTACGAAAATAGGGACGGTTTAGGGTTTAGGGTTTAGGGTTTAGGGTTCAGGGGACCCCAAAATAGATCCCCGAATAGTGGGATTCCCTTACAATAAGGACCCAAGAAGGTGCCCTTATTTTCGTAAAACCCCCATGTTGTCCCGGATTTCATTGGGCCTCCGGCACGCGTCGTAAGCTGGGTCCACTATACCCCTAAACCCTAAAACCTGAACCCTAAACCCTCAAGCCTAAACCCTAAGCCCCAAACCTTCTCAATCACTGTACTCCCCTGAGAACCTTAATAAAAAACAATAATTTATGATATCCTCTTGGGTTTTATATAAACACAAAATAAGATAAATCCAAAGGGGGATATAGTGAAAGGGTGTCATGCTCCGATTTCGGGCTCCCTACTCCGGGTTTCAGATGCTTTCTCTCGCCGAGCAGCTGGATCATAGTGTTGACGATTCCTTCCATGATTTGCGCGCTGGGCATCTCTACCTGCCCAGATCTTCCAAAACCCCTTAACTAAGCAAGATACCCTAATTTATACTAAGGATCATAATTATGAATTAGGGGTATATTCCTTAGTTAAGGAAGATTCCCAAATTTATACTAAGGATCATAACTATGAATTAGGGGTTATAATTCTTAATTCAGGGGTTAGGGTATATTCCTTAATTAAGGGGTTAGGGTATATTCCTTAATTAGGGGGTTAGGGTATATTCCGTAATTAAGGTTTAGGGTTTAGGGTTTAGGGTTTAGGGTTTAGGGTGAAGCTCTGGGTGGCTGTAGCCCCACACATGCGCCACAACTGAAAGGTCCGCCATCTCTTGGAAGGCAAGAGGTTGGAGGGCTCTTTAGGGCCCTTTGAGGTTTAGGGTTTAGGGTTTGGGGGTTTAATGTTAACCTAGTATTACTAAAGCCCCTAACATTAAAGTACGCCAGGTGTCCCGGCCGCAATAAAAAAGCCCTGGAAATAAAGTACGCCAGTCGGGGCTTGTTTTTTTTGGGGGGGTCCGTTTTTCTTTGTTTGATTCCCTATGATCCTCTCTGATTCTCTCTGATCCTTTCTGATCCTCTCTGATTCTCTCTGATCCTCTCTAATTCTCTCTAAGGACAGGAATCCTGAGTGATTCTCTCTGATCCTCTCTAATTCTCTCTAAGGAAAGGAATCCTTATTCAAAGGGGCCTCACTCTATTTGGGGGGGTTTGATTGAAGGGGGGGGGGTTATAATTACTAGGTCAACATTAGGGGTTTAGGGGTTTAGGGGTGTAGAGCCGAGTTATGATTTTGGGGTTTAGTGCTGAGGGTACAAAACCCCAATCCCCAGATATCTGAGGCATCTGCGGCGCCAGATGCCGTCCCATTGCGAATCAAGTTGGGGGTGAAGGAGTTTAGGGCTTAGGGTCCAACATTCTCAACCCTCACCTGTGGGAACAGTGCGAACCACTTGGCTAGCTAAACACACACGCACACAAACACACACAGACTCACTCACATGTAGTGCTTTCAGCCTAAACTGCTCAAACAAGCCCATGCTTGGTATAAATCCCGGCTTTTGCTTTTTCATCTGCCCAGAAAGATTACACTTCTCCTTCCAGCGGCAGTCTCCAGAACTTGGTAGCCCAGCAACCATATTACATTTAGGGTTTAGGGTGTAGGGTTTAGGGTTTAGGGTTTAGGGCTTAGGGTTTAGGGCTTAGGGCTTAGGGCTTAGGGCTTAGGGCTTAGGGCTTAGGGCTTAGGGCTTAGGGCTTAGGGCTTAGGGTTTAGGGTTTAGGGTTTAGGGTTTAGGGTTTAGGGTTTAGGGTTTAGGGTTTAGGGTTTAGGGTTTAGGGTTTAGGGTTTAGGGTTGGTTACCTTAGAAGGGAACCCAAGATTTATATTTAAAAGTAAAGGGTGCCACTGGGCTACCAAGAGAAGGCAGGGAACAACCAGACCCGGAATCAGAAAGAACATTACATTAACAACATTACTCATAGTACTCATGCTCATAATCGTGGTACAAGATTAACCCTAAACCCTAAACCCTAAACCCTAAACCCTGAACCTTAAACCCCATATCCAGCCTGGACCTTGAGCCATTCATGGCGCAGGGCGTCGGCCACAGAGCACCTGTTCTCAGGCCTGGGTGTTATGCAGAAGCCTAGGGTTTAGGGTTTAGGGTTTAGGGTTACATTCCCAGATTTCTTGGGAGGATCCAATAAAACCAAATGGATTTAGGGTTTAGGCTTTGGGGTACCCAAAACCTATTGGGGTCAGTTTTTAGGGGATCTATTTTTTGGATCCTCCCAAGGGTCCGGGTTAGTACCAAGCTCATGACAGAAGAATATGTATTAATATGTGCTATACCCCACAAAACACGGAAGAGTACCACTATAACACACGAAGCCCTCAAACCCGGAAACAGGCCCCCGAAACCCTAAACCCCAATGGGATTCCTGTGGACGCCTGGGGTCTTACAAAGTTGCGACCCTGGGGCCACCTAGAAAGCCCTCCGTCCGGCTTTGGGGTTTGGGGCCCCCATAACAAAATAGGTGGTTCTCTAAATTTGCGTTTCTTTGGGCGGAGGGGGGGATCCTTGCGATGAGGTAACCAAAAAGGACCCCCCCCTAATCTAGAAAACTGCCCATATAATATGTGCTTTGGGGTTTAGGGTTTAGGGATGAGGGTTGATGGTTGAGGGTTCAGGGAAACGTGCTGCGATTACCACTAAACCTGCAATTTTTTCTCACGGGGTCATCCTAAAACCTAGACCCTGGACCCTAGACCCTGAACCCTAAACCCTAAACCCTAAACCCTAAACCCTAAACCCTAAACTAGGTACAAAGAGTAGCAGCCCAGGGGCTTCTTTCGCAAGAGCTCCACCAGGACGGACTTACCTTGGGGGATGCTTCCGAAACCCCGGGGAGAATCTAAACAGGGTTTAGGGTTTAGGGTTTAGGGTTTAGGGAGTGAGGGAATGAGGGTATCCTGTATAATCCCTTCAAGGGTATATATATATATATAGGGGGACATTCCCCCATTCCCTACGAACCAACAGGAAGTTAAAGGTTACTAAGAATGACCCTATAGTTGTACAGGGTACTATTGGGGGGTGTCTGTGCAGCCTTAGGGTTCAGAACAAAAGCTATTTAGGTGGGACTACCTAAAACTGTAGGGTTTAGGGTTTAGGGTTTAGGGTTTGGGGGGTTCTACGTTTTGGATCCTCCCAAGAGGTCTGGGTTTCTGACTTGGCCACATGCGCCCTAAACCTCTTTTATCTTTGGAAGCCGACCTTGCTGACTTTCAGCGGGATCCCTCAACCCTCAACCCTCAACCCTAAACCCTAAACCCTGAACCCTAAACCCTAAGCCCTAAACCCTAAACCCTAAACCCGACTCTTTTGCGTCCTGGCCTCGACAAGGGGACCCCCTCAACTCCAAACTCTAAACCCGCGACACATGGCGCTGACTGAGCCACCCTCAACCCCAAACCCTAAACCCTAAACCCCCAACCACAAACCCTAAACCCTAAACCCTAACCCTAAACCCTAAACCCTAAACCCCAAACCCCAAATCCCAAACCCTAAACCCCACCTTCTTTGGAGATTTTCTTCCATCGGGCGCTCTTGAAACTGACTGGCTCCTTTCCTTGGCTGGCTCTCTGGAACCATGGCTTTCAAAGACTTGCTCATGCACCAGGCCTTACTTGACACTAAACCCTAAACCCTAAACCCTAAACCCTAAACCCTAAACCCTAAACCCTAGACCCTAGACCCTAAACCCTAAACCCTAAACACGCCCAACAAAGAGTTCCAAACGCCGATCTCGCCGCGTATTTTGTGCAGAAGCTCCTCCTGAGAATCAGGTCTGATGGAGCGACAGTAGCAAGACCTTACGACGCCTTCTGCTGCTTGGAGCTCGGGTTCAGGGTTTAGGGTTTAGGGTTTAGGGTTTAGGGTTTAGGGTTTAGGGTTTAGGGCCTTCTACATCCGAGGGCAAGCCCAGCAATAACATCTCCATGTCCCCCAGCGCCCGCCTATGAGGACTCCCGGCCCGCATCACATCCCAAAATGCCCTGTGAGTTTGAAAGCGCAGATTCCAAAACCCGTATAGGGTTTGGGTTTAGTGTAGAATTCACGAAGGCTCTCGAGCCCTAAACCCTAAACCCTAAACCCTAAACCCTGAACACTAAACCCTGAACCCTAAACCCTAAACCCTAAACCCTGAACCCTAAACCCTAAACCCTAAACAAGCATCCTGAGCTGAAGACCCCCAGGCCCTGGCGCCTTCGTCTTGCCATGAAAGGGATACTGGCCGGACAAGATGATAAACCTGAGTGGCTGAGTGTATGCATGTCTTAAGGTTTAGGGTTTGTATCAGCTAAACCCTAAACCCTAAGCCCTGAGACAGTTTGCAGGTGGGCTCGGCTCAGGAATGAAGGGGTGTATGTTGGGATCTTCTCCCTAAGCAGTCCTTAGCTGGGATTCCCAAGGTATAAGGAGGGACCCCTCGAAGTGACAATTGATCCTATTCCCCGATATAACTCCTACATGTGTGTATATATATATATAATGTGCATACGCATATGCAGATACATATACATATACATATACATATACATATACATATACATATACATATGCATATGCATATGCATATGCATATGCATATACATATACATATATATATATATGTATATATACCTTATAGAGTCCATATATACCCTAAGTAGCCCCTAAGTAACCCCCCCAAAAAAAAACCTAAGGTCCCTTTGTAAGAGTCCCTCCTTGAGTCCCTTGAAGAAAGACAAGGGTTTAGGGTTTAGGGTTTAGGGTTTAGGGTTTAGGGTTTAGGGGCATCTCAAACCCCAACAGCTCATAAGGAACCCTTGGGGGTGGAAGGCTTAGTAGCCCAGCAACCCTATTAGAGAATGTGGTCCCCTTCCACCCCGCCCTGGGTTCCTTCTGTAAACCCTAAACCCTAAACCCGAAACCCTAAACCCTAAACCCTAAACCCCAAACCCCAAACCCTAAACCCTAAACCCTAAAACCCTAAAACCGCATACCAAACAGAGCAAACCGATCCCAAAGCACGACCCAGAAACATCACGACGCCTGCGCTCCATGAGTCGCACCTGTGAAGTTCTTTGGGAGTTGAGGAGCTTCTGCAGGGTTTAGGGTTTAGGGTTTAGGGTTTAGGGTTTAGGGTTTGGGGTTTGGGGTTTGGGGTTTGGCCTCAGGCTCAGGGCTTTGTGCTAGGGGTGCTTGTGGTGTAAAGCTCAGGATTTGGGAGGGGCTTCGGGTGTACCTACCCAAAGTTTAGTTGTGCTCACCAACGTATTTTTCTAAGACCTACGCCAATGCCTGAAACCTCAAACGCATTGATCTCTCCACCCGAGCCCTCGACCCGAGCTCGAAATACACACCCAACTCCCAGCAGCTGAGCTAAGGCACCGTTGGTCGTACTGTACCGGAGCAGTGACCAGCTCGGGAGCAACGCTGTAGGGGGTGCCGGCCGCACGAGTGATCTTTGCCTTGGTTGCTGAGTTCAGAAGCCCCCATTCAGTTTCTAGGGGATCATGGTATCCCAAAAAGTGTAAAGGGTACTCACTCAGCTACTAAGTTGCTCCAGGCCGATATGGACAGCACAAGCCGAAATCGATCAGCTTGATGTTGCCCACTTCTCCATCGTGCACGGGCGTTGCAAACATGATGTTTTCTGTCTTCAAATCTCTGAAAATGAAGTTTGCTTGGTGCAGGTAGGATAAAGCGGAGAGCGTCTGTCGCATGATCTTTGCAGCATGTGGTTCAGGGAACCGCTGCTGAACGCACAGGCTTTCCAGCAATGTGCCTCCGGCACATATGTCCATGACCAAGTAAATGTGGCGGCGATCTTCATAGCATTCATAAGCTTTGCAGATGTGCGCGTGGTCCAGCTGACGGAGGACGTTGAACTCATCTTTGATGGTCTTTGGGTCGGAAATCTTTTTCTTCGGAATCGTCTTCACGGCAACAAAAGTCGCCATGGACAAGCACTTTGTGCGAATGTCCCTCGCCCTGTTGACAACGCCAAAGCTGCCACTACCCAGCTCTTCCAACATCTCATAGTTGTCCTTCGCATGGCACACCCGATTTCTTGAAAGCGTGACCTTGGGATGTTCCCCCCATATAGGAACCGTCCCTCATAGGGATTCTAATAGGGGGTACTATAATCCTATAATCCTATAATCCTACAATCCTACCACATAATCCTATAATCCTATAATCCTATCATCCTATAATCCTATAATCCTATAATCCTATATTCCTAAAAATCCTAGAATCCTATTCAGGACTAGGGGGGGGGAACATCCCAAGCTTGACCTGCCAGCCTGCACAATGAAGAAACCCTAAACCCTAAACCGTGGCTCTGAAGAAACAAAGCCTGAACCCTGCTGTCCTCCAACTTGCCCTTCTTCACCTGCCCGAACAGAAGGGTTAGAGTTATAGGGTTTAGGGTTTAGGGTTTGGGGTTTAGGGTTTAGGGTTTGGGGTTTAGGGTTTGGGGTTCAGGGGCAACAACACAAGCTATCAACCAAGTCAACAACGACTAGCACGAAAAGACAGGTCAAATGTGATCCACACACTTGTGAACAATCGTGCGAATGATTCTGGTGCACCTGAACCCTAAACCCTAAACCCTAAACCCTAAACCCTAAACCCTAAACCCTAAACCCTAAACCCTAAACCCGAAACCCGAAACCCGAAACCCGAAACCCTGGCCTGCGCAAGTAGGGCTCTGTCGAAGGCTTGGAGATCTTCTGAATGATCACCAGTAGGAGCAGGCTGTTCGACACGAGCGCACGCGGAAGCCAGGGAAGTTCCCATGGCCCCCTCATTGCTCTCAACGCTGCCACAGGTGCATCTTTTTTTTGCGCAAGGCCCCACCCAAACCTGAAGCCCAAGAAGCCGAGAAGGGTGCAAGCTTTGCATTGCATGCTGTGCAAGAATCTGGACCTCCCAGCGCAAGAGATGGCGAAATTGGGGTACCTTTTTTGGGTCCTTACGATAAGTATAAGGGAATCCTACTATTTGGGGTCTAGTTTAGGGGGTCCGTATCGCAACTCTTGCGGAGTTTTTGCACCTCGAAACTGCAAAAAGGCAGTTCCTTAGCACATCGCAGACGTCTTAACCCTGAAAATGTTCTCCGTTCCACGTTGTTCCTGGACAGCAGCTTCTGCATACCCTAGCCCAAAAAAGATGAATCCTGGGATTTTGTTTAACCAACAAGGTTAAGGGTTAACTACCCAGTCCTTAACGTGACTTGACGTCTCATAGGGGGCCTTCCCAGGATTTTGGGCGAGAGTTAGGGCCTCATGGGCTCAACAAGAATTGCCAACTCCGGCGATGGCCGAGAATAATTAGCTGCGGAGGCTTGCAACTAGATCACGCAACAGTACCTATCCCCCCCCTTCCCCCTAGAACCTTGAAAAAAAAAGAACCGTATTGCTAATATTCCCTTGGGCTGTATTCATTAGATCACCCAAAGATAGGTGAGGGGTATCCAGTAATTACCCAGGATCCGTTGCATTCTCACGGGATCCTGTCGATTTGTACTTTCCTTTTTTGGGTGAACTTTCGGTTTAAGGTTTAAGGTTTAAGGTTTAAGGTTTAAGGTTTCGGGTTGAGGGTCAGGGTTTGCAGGGCATGGAGAGCTACAGTAGGTTTTCGGGGCGATCTTCGGAGGTGCGCATCTTCAGCAGGTGCTGCCTGGACTAGAGGCTTACTGGTGAGTTTTTGTTCTTAAACTAAGCCCCTAAACCCTATAATCCCTGGACCCCGAACCCCAAACCCCTAAATCCTGATTTTGCAGTTTCAATGGACAACTCACACCCTCTGATTTCCATCGCCGTTTTTCCACGCATTCATGCAGGCATCGCCTGCGCTTTGACAGAACTTCGACTGGAGTCGCCCAAATGCAGGAAGTCAAGGGCAAAGTGTTCTCTCATGGCCTGCTGGGCTGTTTCATTGTACAGCTCGTCTGTGGGCAAGAACTTCAACAAGGAAGCACATGCTTTGCCACGATTGTATTTCCACCAGTTGCCTGGTGGAAGCCGCGCGATTTCTCCAAGGCTTTCCATGAGGTCGTTGAAGCTTGCAGACAAGTTCTCAATTGGCAGAACGTGCTTGCAAAATGTTACGCCGCCATCTTCCACAAAGGCCCACTGTGGCAACAAGTGGCAATCACAGGAATAACGAGGCGCACGCAGTGATTCCTTGAAGTCATCCCTGTTGCAAAGAAGAGGCCTTAGGGTGGCCACGCAACATCGTCCCAGGAAGCTACCGTCGTTATGTGACTATACTTTTTTTTATACTATACTTGTTTTAGGTCGCCCCAAAACAAATATACCGAACCATGCAACAAACAAACAAACAAGTTCATGGTTGGGAGAATATAAAAAATGCATTTTGTATTCCTTATAAGGTTTAGGTACCCTTAAAAATGGTAAAATGGTACCCAACTATGACAAAGCAAAGGGGCATGCGAACGCCCACACACGACTTTTGGCGATGTTGGCCTTCAAATCTGCGCAGCCAGTCGCGGTTCTCGAGCTGCCATGTGAATTCGCTGATCATGCGGACCCATGGATCGCGAACTACACAGAACGTCTCTACATGGGTTAGATGAGGATACGATGCAGAAAACTCAGAGTAGACAATGTTGTCCGGAGTCAGCAATGGCGGCGGGGTGTGCCAAACAGAGCACACATATCCGTCTGGCATCCTTAGATTGTGCGACAATGCAATCACTGTGTGTCGCCAGAACGGTGCAATCGGTACAAAACCAGTGCAAATCGAGTTGGCGGGTCGCACATCGTTTGGGCTTTAGTACGCTTTAAGGTTTAGTGTGCTGTCTTGAGGATATGTGCGGAAGAAACCCCTCCCCGCAAAGCGGTATGCAACGCTCGGCAGGCTCATTGAGTCCTCAACCCGCCAACATTCCACACTCAGTTGCAGTTTGTGGCCAAGGCTCGTTTGCAAAATCGACCAAGGAACCACGCGATCCGCTCCCCAGTGGTAGCCTTTGTTTGCCGAGCTGGCCGTGCATGTCAAGTTTCGTGGGTAGTCATGCGCACAACTACCTCAGCACACATATGCACACATGCTGCCATGTTGAATTCCGTTTTTCAAAACTGCCATCATCCACTGAGTAACCATATCGTGAGCCAATCATTTGGATGGTGGTGCCTTGCGCGGCTATTGCATTCACATCGGGCTTGACATGATTACAGACAAGTGTGTGTTCGCAAGGTGCCACAACTGGAAAACGCTGTCGCGAACACGCACCTGCAGGTCAACAGCGTTGGCGCTCTTTTTTACCATGTAAAAGTTTTTTTTAACACCGGTTTCGTTTCCATCGAAGAATTATGGCAACCGTGGCTGAGAAGCAACACGTGTTGTTCCATATATAAGCATGCCATATCATAAAATGCTAGATCGTTGGCAAGGCTGCCGAAATTCAACCTTGTCCGTTTGCGGGCAGTGGGGAGTGTGAGGAAGCTGGGGCAAAAAAACTTGCGCAGCGGAACGCGCAAGGAGGGCGGACCAGGGCTGCACGAATGCAGAGACGGCGGCCCTGGGCCGGGGCTCGGCAGCGGGGCCGAATAGGACCGTGCAGGTGCAAAGCCAACCGAGAACATGCCGGGCATCAGGGGATCACCCTGTTCACCTCCTTCCGCCGGGCAGCCCAACAAGCCTTTTTTTTAATTTTTTTTTTGGCGCTCCTTTTTGCTCCTGCCTGAGGGTCCGCGGTCCCTGTGCACCCTATGGCTCGGGAGGGGCGGGGCGGGGAGGACGGAGGTCCAGGGCCCTTCAGGTGCGGAGAGGCAAACGGCTCGGGACTGGTGGGGGTGGGGCCGCTTCAGAGGCGGCAGCGCCCAGGAGGTCGCTCAACTCCAAGGCTTCCCCATCAACATTGGCGGCGTTGGCGAGGGGCAGCGAGAGAAGACTCGCGGCCAGTGCTCGTGCGGCTGCAAAGGAGAGGAGGGCTGACCAGCGGGCGACGTCGGCGGCCCTGGCGCTGGATCGCAGCAGGGGAGGGGCTGCGCGGGAGCGGCTACGAGCGAGGAGTCGGATGAACTGGGCTGCCTCGTCACTCCATCGCCCTCCGAGCTCAATCCCGACCACAACCAGCCGGCACCGTGAGGAGCGGAGGAGTTCGGGGTATGTCCGCTCTTTGGCCTTTCGAGCGACGCGCAGGGCAGCTCCGGCTGTGAGGCGTTGGTGACGGCGAGCCTGCCTTGCCGAGTCCAAAGCTGACACGAGCGTGGTGCCGACTGCCAACTGGGCGCCACTCCAAAGGGGAAGGCCGTTGGCGATGCTAGCGCGGGGAGCTGGGCGCCGGGCATGGCCCCGTGAACGTACGGCACTCCGAGGAGCGTGCCAGCAAGGGTGCTTTGCAAAGCCACGCTCAGCAAACCCCACCAGCGGCGCAGCCAACCCTGCTTGGCGGCACCGCGCAAGGCGGCAGGAGTGCGCTGAACTCTTTCTTTGAGCCTCGCCAGTTGGGTGACGAAGCGGAGGGACTCGGCGCTCCATCGCCCTCCGGCCTCGCAGGCTAGGATGCAGAGGCGCTGAGGGCCAGGTCGCAGCAGCTCAGGGCGCTTGCGCCGTTCAGCGACGGCGATTGCGGCTCCGTCGGGGGCCTTCCCTCTCGTGTCAACGGGGAGACGAGTGTCACGTCGCAGCATAACGCTTCGCCGAGTGGCGTGGCCGCGTGAGCGACGAAGTCGAGGCGGCGGCGATGTGGCGGTGTTCCTGCCGCCTGCAATTGCATGTGCACTGCGCGGCGCTATTGAGGTTGCGACATCACTACCCACCGTGGTCGATGCCCGTAGGTTGGATGGGGGACTGGGTTTGTAATGAACTGTGGACCAACATGATGATCGGCTCTCTGCTGTGCGTGTCAACCGTGCATGTGCTTTGCAAAGTGGATGCCGCTTGTGCCTGGATTTACAGAACGTCGCATACACGATCATACAGTGCGGTGCCCCGGGTCATTTACCGGATGAATCACGCCAAATTGATGCACGGTGCCTCTGCAGTCAGCAGGGACAGCAAATTGCGTGGCGAATGGCTCGCGCAGAGGCATCAGAGGCGGTGGCTGATGCAGCAAGGACAGTCGCTTGCGGATCGAGCTCCACAGCGGTGCTGTTGCATGCGGGAGGGCTGCTACAAAACGAGGTAAAGCATGGGCGCATGCAATTCCGTGGTTTGCGGTTGTTTGCTCGTAATGTCTGCGCAGTCAGACCCGTGAACTGTTAGTTGTTTAAGTTTTGTTGCACAGTTATATGCTGTGCCAGGTAAGTTGGGTTGGGTTCCTTTTGCCTGTGAGGATTTCAAGGCTCAGTTCGGTTTGTCTGGGCGCCATGCTGATGGTGCTCATCCACGTCTGGTGGCTCGTGTATTTTGCAATGCCCTAGGACGGCAAGGCCTTAGGCTCAACAGGTTTCCACGAGTTTGTGCGAGAACGCCATTGACGTGCCACATTTGTAGGGGACGTCGCCGGGCTGCAGCTCGCGCGCTCTAGCAGTTTGGCAACCGCTTTGCATGGGAATGCAGTTGCTGCCTGCCGCACTGACGTTGCGTCTGTTCATTCGCTATCGCTGGCAATCATCAGTTGCGCGTTGCTGGTCGTTGGCACGTGTTGGGCTCGTCATCGGTCTCAGCATTTGCCGTGCTCATACAGCGATGACGCCTGGAGTTTTCTTCACGCAACGCGCGTCATCGCGTGCATGCCCGATTTTCGCAGCGAAAAAAACGTTGTGGTCTCATCGGGCACAACTTTCACAGCTATATAAGCATCTCCAAAGCATTGATCACTTCGTGAGTCGTCGTGACCTTATGGGTCATGTTCAACACCATGCTGCGTGCGCACGGATACGTGCAGCGTGCATGCGGACTGCCGTGTGTGGGCAAAGTAGGGCTGAGATTATTGGCCTCCGTAGGAATCATGCGCTTATGGCACACGATACACCGATAAACGGCGTTGAAGCAAGAACGTGTCATCACGTAGGCATCTGCGTTTGAACAACATGCGCATGCGACATTCTTGACCAGTTTCGCGCGCTGTGTAGAATGTGCGCACGGCCATGTGGTGGAACCGCAAGAATTTAAACAAATCTTCTTTGAATACGCATTTGCGGAATTCTGGTGTGCCACGCAGGTGCGCACGATGCCAGGCAGCACCACGCTCACACTGCATGTTGTATTGCACAGGATGTCATGTTTCATGTGCATGCCGCCGGCATCTGTGATGACGAGCTTCCGTCAGCGAAACCGTGGCTGAACGGGCCGATCCCGAGAACCGCGCGACGATACGTGAGGGAAAGCGACCCAGGCTTGCGCATGCCTGGCAAGGGCTGCACACGTGCACAACGTATTCATGCATGGGTCAGCCAACTTCGCTTTTCGTCACACATGTTTCTCCAACCAGCATCAAAGACCCAAACAGAATAGCTTTACATGTCGTATCATGTCGTATCGGCCAGGTGTGTTCCCGGAGCAGCCGGATCACTTTTTAAAACCCCATGGGCATCACCGGCATGGCACGCATCAATTTGCACATTTCCGATGCCGCACGGAGAAGCGCCCCACCACTCCGCTAGGTCAGAAGACCCGACACCCGCTCCCGTGATGCTCGCTGAAGGCGGCTCACATCGTTTGAGAAGCAACACGCGCGCCTGCCCGGCAATTTTTTTTGACAACTCTCGGGACGGGCTCAGACTTCATGGTTAACAATACGGCTGATGCAGCAGATGGGAATGCCCATTCGTCAAATATCTCGCTTGGAACGCGTCCACTTGTCGCAGCTGGCAAGTCCCAACCTTGTAAGATATGTAAGGAGCTTTTTGCAAGTGGATGAATAGTCAGGGACAACACGGCTGTCATGGCACAAACGATCCGCCTCCAAATGCATCGCTTCCAACGCCTGATTCTTGTTGACAAAAAATTGGTTAGACCGGACGGTTGAATAACGCAAAAACGCGGAAAAGAGACTGCAAACACACGCTGTGGGGCGCCTGTTGTTTTGCTTTCCCTGTCGGGGGTCGGTTTTTGTTTTGCGTTTGCGAGCTCACTCACTACTCGCGGGCCCATGTTGTTGTTGCAGTGGCAGTGGGGGGGGGGGGGGGGGGGGGGGGGGCGGGGGGGGGGGGGGGGGGGGGCGCTTTGCTGTTGCAGCAGGGCGCGATCCTTTTTTGAGCTGTTGCTGCGGGGCATTTCTGATGGCTGCAGCCGTGGCACTCCCAGGCTCACTCGCTGGTGTTTTTTTTTTGCTGTGACAGTGGGAGTGCTTAACGCTTTGTTTCGTTGTTGCCGCGGGGCCGCCTTTTTTTGCTGTCACAGCGGACGCCCTCGTTTTTGGTGTCACGAGCACGCTCAACCAATCACTCGCTGGTGGCTGCGGGGCGCATCTTTTCATTTGCTGTCGCCGCGGGCGCGCTCACTCACTCATCACTCTATTGGCCCGTGGCTTTTGTGGTTGGCAGTGGGGGCGCGGCTATTTTTGCTGTTGCAGCGGGCCGCCGTTTTGTTTTGCAGCTACTGCGCGGCGCTTGTCGCCGCGATTTGTGGCGACAAAAGAGAATGCCCGGGTTTCCCTGCGGAAGGCGTTCATTCCATAACGACCCCTTATCCATGGAGCACGACCCTCAACCCACTCAACCGCATGCGCCCCTCCCGGGGGTCCTCTCGTTCGGCTTCTCCAGCGAGACTTCCCCTTGACTCGCTGATTTTGAGTTGGGCCGCCGTGGTCGACGTGCAGCGCCTACGATATCTTAAAGTTGCGAGGGGCGCTCAGATGTCGCGCGTGTTCACGGGCACTCCAACCTTTTGCTATGACGTCGCGGTGGCAATCGAACCTGGCATCTATGCAGCACACTATGTGCGACGTCGCGCGGCCAACGCAAAACGAAGATCAACGAAGCCTCAGCCACCATCTGTCGCAGCGTGACTGGAGCTTCAGCCCTGCCCAGAGGGTCCTTTCGTAGTACTATTCTGGAATTAGGTACCCAAAAACCATACTAAATAGGGTTTTGGGGTACCAAATTCCATAATTGTACTACAAAAGCATCCTCTGGGCTGTGTCTTCTGAACCGTGCACACTGGGACCTCGTCCTACTTTCAGTTCAGGTTGGGCATGCATATATAGGCGACAGCCTATCGCAGGTGGTATGGGTAGCATAGACCAGGTACCCCGCGGCCATCGGAGACGCTTTAGAGCACTCGGGTCAAGCTGCGGTCATGTCTTGAGCTTGAGATTCTGAATCAAGACCTGCATGCATAAAGCTGCCGACCATGCGTTAGCTTCGAAGGCGCGCTGCGTCGCTACGTTCGCGTTGTGAGGGCGGCAAGACGACTGCGAAGCCGCACTCGCATCGTCGAAGTCGGGCAGCCGCGCGCCCAGGCGAGATGGCGACATAAAGGGGGGGGGGGGGGGGGGGAGAGGGCCACGAAAGCGAGAAGCGAATGGCCAGGGGCCACACCGCAATTGCGAGGGCTGCCTGTGCCATGGTCTCGCAGGCGCGGGACGCGGCGGAAGTCCTCAATAAAGCAGAAGCGTCGTTACCCGTCCACTCATGCACGGATCAATCGCGTCAAACATTGGAAGCAGCTGCTGGGAGGTTCATGGGTAGCTATAAGTAGGGTTCATAGTTCTTTAACTCCAACATGAAGTGCCCCATAACCCCAATAAGCCCTAGAAGCTCTATAAACCACCAACCCAGAACCCAGGAAAGCCCATCAACCCCGCAGGCTTTCCTGTTTTCTCTTCGGTGATGGCCCAGAGTTACTGTACATCTGGCACGCCAGAAAGGTCGTGTGGCAAACCAGCGTGCTCATCCCTTCCCCCTAACTTTAAAACCTCCCAGCCCTTGATATGAAATACTCTGCATATACATATACATACATATATATATATATAAAGCGTATATCTACAAAGATATACAGATATGTATATAAAAAATATGTGTGTGTGTATATGTATATAAATCCATAGACATGTATGTATAAATATAAATATATATATATATATACACTAAAAACAAAGCCCGCATATTTGGGGGTAGGAGGGGCCTTCATCTTAGGGAAAAGGGACTACTGGGCCGGGAGGTGCCAGGGCTCAGGAGTCAAGCACATGGACCCAAGACGAAGCCGACAGCGGAGTAGAGGGCGGATTGCCTGCATGGGTTTAGGGTTTAGGGTTTAGGGTTTAGAGTTTAGGGTTTAGGGTTTAGGGTTTGGGGTTTAGGGTTTGGGGTTTAGGGTTTAAGGTTTAGGGTTTGGACCCTAAACGCTCAACCCACAACCCTAAATCCTGGGGTCCCGGGGTTCAGGGCTGCATGCAGTGTAAGAGTTGCCGGGGTTGGTCTGTGCAGCTTGTGACACAGGCCTTACAGGACTTCAGTCCTTTAATGTTTTCCTTCAGAACCGCATGAACACTCCAATGGGGCTGTGACGTCCACAACGCGATTTCAAAACAGACTCAAAAGCGGGAGGATCCACGTGCCCCTGCAACCAAACCCTGAGCCATCAATTGTGGCACCCATGTGGGGGTTTCGGAAATTAGGGGGTACCTTATTGGGGTTCTTGTTATAATAAGGGGTTCGATTATAGGGGTCCCTAGTCGTAAACTCCCATGTATTGAAACCTTACGGCCCCATATTCAAACCCTGAACCCTAAAACTCCAAATTTATACACACTAAGCCTCAACCCCCCCTCCCCTCCACCATAGCCACTCCCAACAACACGCAAAACCATTCCCACAGGCATGTACCCCTCACCCTCAACCCTCAACACCCACAACCCCTCCCTCAAACCCCCGGAACCTCGGCAACCCTAAACCCTAATCCCTAAGCCCTATAAACCCCAAACCCTAAACCCTGAGCAGCGCCTTCGCCAAGCACGTACTCCGCGGCGGCACGCTCGCTGATGCGATCCCAGTCTGGAAAGCTGCTTTCTGACAAGACATGCCTTGGATAGCAAGATGCGGTTTAGGGTTTAGGGTTTAGGGCTTAGGGTTTAATTAGGGTTTAGGGTTAGGCTTTAGAGTTTTTGGGTTTAGGGTTTAGGGTTTAGGGTCCCCCCCCCCCCCCCCCGAAAGGAGCAATTTCCATGGGACATGTGGCAAAAAGCCCGTTTGGTCGATGAAGCCCCCCAACTCAACTCGGAAACTCGGAAACGCGAACCCCCTTACCCTAAACCCTAAACCCTAAACCCTAGGATATCTCCGAAACTCAGCTGCTGCCAGCTGGAGTTGGAGCCAACGTCGGTCTGCGAGCGCCCCACTTGCCTCAACCTCGGGCAGCAACAGTCTAGGGGAAAGGCAAGGTCCCAAGGCTTCTGGGGTTTAGGGTTTAGGGTTTAGGGTTTAGGGTTTAGGGTTTAGGGTTTAGGGTTTAGGGTTTAGGGTTCCTACTAGTTGCTTAAGAGCCTCCCAGAAAATATGAGTATTCTTCCTTATCAGGGCAATATAGGGATTGTCTTTTCTTCATTTTCTTTTTCTTGGGGGGTTCTTAAGCAAATAGTAGGTTTATAGCTAGTGTATTAGCTTTAGGGTGACCGGTTTAGTTGGTTTAGGGCTTCGCGTCAAGGGCTTAGCCGGTTGAGGGCTTGGGTTTCTCCATCTCTTTGGGGACCAAGTACCTAATTATTCTATACTTGGGCCCCGAAGTCCCTATATAGCAAGTACTTTAAGGCCCAAGTATTCCCTAAACCCTAAACCCTAAACCCTAAACCCTAAACCCTAAACCCTAAACCCTAAACCTATTCAGGTACATGGACCCTTAGGGTCTCTTTGGGGACCAGGCAACTTTGTGGCGTTGATGGGATGAAGCCCCAGACGTTTGCAGGCAGCCCCGCAGCGATGAGACTGAAGGCACCGCAGGTAACCTGGGAGCGCCGACATCTCACGTTGTTCCGTCGATTTAAGGGTTTAGGGTTTAGGGTTTAGGGTTTAGGGTTTAGGGTTTAGGGTTTAGGGACCCAACCCACAATAATAAGGGGCCAAACAGGCCTCAGTCCTTATGGGTCAGGGGAGGTGGAATGGCGGGTAGTGAAGGTGCGCATGTGTCTCTGGTGTCTCTGTGCGTCTCTGTGAATCTGTGTGTGTGTGTGTGTGTGTGTGTGTGTCTCTGTGTGTCTCTGTGTGTGTCTCTGTGTGTCTCTGTGTGTCTCTGTGTGTCTCTGTGTGTCTCTGTGTGTCTCTGTGTGTCTCTGTGTGTCTCTGTGTGTCTCTGTGTGTCTCTGTGTGTCTCTCGGTGCCTCTGTGCGTCTCTCTGTGCCTCTGTGTCTCTGTGCGTCTGTGTGTGTGTGTGTGTGTTAGGGTGTTAGGGTGCGGGGTTTGTTGAGGCTTGGTGACCCAGTAACCATATGATGATAAGGGCACCCTTGTTGGGGTTGGTTTCCTTAAAAGTTAGGGGTTTAGGGTTTAGGGTTTAGGGTCTAGGGTTTAGGGTTTAGGGTTTAGGGTTTAGGGTTTAGGGTTTAGGGTCTCAACCAAAAAAGCAAAAGGATACCACTGGGCGACCATGGAGGGCCCCGAATGCGCTCTTCACTCTTCACTCCACACCCTGAACCCTGAACCCTGAACCCTGAACCCTGAACCCTGAACCCTGAACCCTGAACCCTGAACCCTGAACCCTGAACCCTGAACCCTAAACCCTAAACCCTAAACCCTAAACCCTAAACCCTAAACCCTAAACCCTAAACCCTAAACCCTAAACCCTGACTCAAGGGGGAGGAGCCCACGGTGCCAAGATCGCCCGGGCCGTAGTCGCGCGTCAGGGAAAGGACCTCTTTTCCAGGGTTTAGGGTTTAGGGTTTAGGGTTTGGGGTTTAGGGTTTAGGGTTTAGGGTTTAGGGTTTAGGGTTTGGGGTTTAGGGTTTAGGGCTTGGGGTTTGGGGTGTAGGGCTTAGTGTTAGCTTCCTTGTAGAGGATCTTGACATAAGCTTCCCAAGCCCAAGGGTGCAGACTTCGGGGTCCAAGGTAAGAGTCCCATGAGCCTTTGGGATGTTTTGGGGGTGTAGGCCGTCAGGGCTTGAAAAAGGAGGTTGTTTTAGGGTTTAGGGTTTAGGGTTTAGGGTTTAGGGTTTAGGGTTTAGGGTTTAGGGTTTAGGGTTTAGGGTTTAGGGTTTAGGAAGACCAGCTTACTTGCATCGATAGTATGGCAAAGAAGGCAACTCAGCAAAAGGGCTCCGCGCGAGAAAGGCACGGTTGCAGGTTGAAGGGTTGGGGGCTCAGGGGTTTGGTGAAGGGTTTAGGGTTTAGGGTTTAGGGTTTAGGGTTTAGGGTTTAGGGTTTAGGGTTTAGGGTTTAGGGTTTAGGGTTTAGGGTTTAGGGTTTAGGGTTTAGGGTTCTGGTGGGTCATATTCCCACATTAGAGAACCGCCTGTTTTGTTTCATGACTCTTTAGGCTTGCAAAGGGTAGCTACCCTAAACCCTAAACCCGAAGCCCTAAACCCTGAACCCTAAAGGGCCAAGGTGTATAACAATGAGGTACATGGACCCTTAGGGTCAAGTACTCCAGAATCACAGGTAGTGAAGGACCCTAAGCCCAACTCTCTGCTGCTTACCCTGACGCCCAAAACCAAAGGTCCTAAACCCTAAACCCTAAACCCTAAACCCTAAACCCTAAACCCTAAACCCTAAACCCTAAACCCTAAACGCACCTTGAGGGTTCAGGGTCCCCTGGCCTGCGGATCCGTCAGAAGTACTTCGTTCTGCCGCGCAACGCCCTGTAGGTCCGACACTATGAAACGTCCGCCCGATTCCTTGGCTTAGGGTTCAGGGTTTAGGGTTTAGGGTTTAGGGTTTAGGGTTTAGGGTTTAGGGTTGAGGGTTTAGGGTTT